TTCAGATCGATGGTGGTCGGTGGTGGTGGTCATCGGTGGTTCAAATCAATAGTGGTCGGAGGTGGTCAACGATGGCCATATTGAGTTATATGAGATTAAAGTATATTAGGTTAAGGGCATATTTGGTGTAATAAAGATAAATATTTCATTCCATCAAAATACCATGTAGTTGCTAAAAATGTTAAATTCCTTTATTTGTGGAATTTGTAGAATTTTGAAGATTCCTTTCGTGAAAAAGAATGAACCAAACAAGGGAATGGAATTTGGTCAATGGAATTCAACTTTTCAATTCCATCAGATTCCTCCAGAATCTGCAAACCAAACGCCATCTAAGACGTATGTGATGATATGCGGTTATTATGATACATATGATATGAGTACAACAAACATAAATGTGGTTTTGTGATATGTACACATTTAGGGGCTGATATAGAACCCCTAGCAACCGGAGGAAATGTGAAGATCATTTCTTTAAAGAAGTTTACTATTTCTTAAAGAAGGAAATCATCCAAATGTTGAATCATTATCAGTTTAAGGGGAAGATAAAGTTTTTTCTGAAGATGATCAAAGGGAGAGATTATCTAAAATTTGTTAATAAAAGAAGAAGATTGTTTTTGTGCTGAAAAGTTTTCCTTATCAAATTCAAGGGAAGTTATTTGGGAGAGATTGTTAAAGATGAAAGTTGCTAAAAGCTTTGAAGATCATATCTTGAAGAATCAAAGTTTCTAAAGTTTTCTGAAGATTGTTGTTGTTTTGATCTTGAATCCAAATAGCGAGATTTTTTTTTAAGATTGTTAAAGTTTTGAAGATCTAAAGTTGCTGAAAGCTTCAGAAGATCAAAATTTACAATGTCTCAAGCTTGAATCCAAAGAGGGGAGAATATTGGGTTTGAGTTTATGTGCTTAGTATTGTATTCAATCTTAGTTTCTTCATTGTAATTTTGTATTATAGTTTCCTCCTATAAATAGTTCTTGTCTTTGTAATCTTGTTACAACACTTTCACTTTCTAATCATTTTTGTAAGTACACTTTGAAGATCAATATACAAGTTTGAAGATTCTCTCTCAATCTCTACTACGTTCAAGATTTATATTTTGCCATTTTAGTGTTCTTGATCTTGCATGAAGATTGGTTAATCAAACTGAGATTAACATATAGGTTTGAAAAGAAGACTTCAGAGTTCAGGTTACTTGTCTTCGGGGAAAAAAAAGCTTAAAAGATCAGATTTCTAACTCTAGAAAAGAAGTCTAGACTTCAGATTTCTAACTCTGGAAAAACGTTTTTAGAAGTCAGTATAAGTCTGAAGAAGAAAAGTTCAGAGTTCCTAAGTCTGAACAAGAACACTTCAGATCTTCTTTAGATTCCTAACTATGGATTAAAGTCTTCAGAGTTCAGAAATGGAAGTCTGGAGAAGAAGACATGGAACTCTGAAGAAGAAGACTTTAGAGCTCAGATTTTTATCTCTGGAATAGAAGTCTTCGAAGTTCAGATTCCTAACTCTAGAAAACAACATTTCAGAGTTCAGAGTTCTAACTCTAGAAAAAACTTTTCAGAGGTCAGGCATATAGGTCTGAAAAGAAGACTTCAAAGTTCATGCTACTTGTCTCTGGAAAAAAATCTTAAAAGATAAGATTTCTAACTCTGAAAAAAAAGTTCAGACTTAACATTTCTAACTCTGGAAAAAAGTCTTCAGAGATCAGGCATATAAGTCTGAAGAAGACTTCAGAGTTCTAAGTCTAAAGAAGAAGAAGACTTGGAAATCTGAAAAAGAAGACTTCAGAATTCATCTTGTAAGTCTAGAGAAGTAGAGTTCAGATTTTTACCTTTAGAATAAAATATTATAGAGTTCAGATTTTCTAACTCCTGATTAAAGTATTTAGAGTTTAGGTTATTTGTTTAGCTTATCACAATTTGTTATTTTACCCTAATAATAAAGTAAATCCCGTTTTGTAGGGGAATAAGTTAAGACACAAATTAAACCAATTGCATCTTAAATTAGTGGGATTGATTGAATAAAAGAACATTTGTCAATCAAATAGGCCTAATTGATTTTTTAATGTAAATTGTCTCTACGTGTTTAGACGGGGAAAAAAATAAAACTGACTCGCTAGAAGCGGACACGTGTTAAAGCTACTTATTTATTATCAGTACTACATTATTAATCATTTGACAAAACTCTTACAAACCATTTTTTATGCATGAAGTACAATTTATTGATGCATATTACTTAAAATTCAAGATTACAAGTAAATTGTGCATAAGTATAACTTATTAAAGTTCTATGTTTGAATTCGTGTAATTAATTGCGTATAAACATAATCAAATAGATGATAAACATCTCATTTTAAAAACATAAATATCTAAAATATAATTAGGATAATTATTGACTTATAACAGAATACTTAATTATTATATTTATAAAAAATATATTATTAAATCTAAATTAAGTTACTTCTTTACGTTAAATTAAATTACAATAAAAATTTAGAATTAAGAAAATATATAAACAAAAACTTTTAAATAATTAATTTGATACTAATATTGATATACTTTTTGTAAACTTTATATGATATTTTTAAATAAATATTTTATTTAAAAATAAAAATATTATCGTTTTTTAAAAAACATGTAAAATTATATGATAAAAAATAAAAAGAACATTGAAATAAAAATGTGTGTCGATGAATTATTACCCTTCAAGTATTATATGTATAGATTTGAAAGATATGCAAAACAAGTGATCGAGAAGCAACTGATATTCGCCCGATTATCATACGAGAGTTGAAATTCATCCGGTAAAACACTATTTTGATGACGAGATTCTTGAAGATGATTGTAAGGCATAGGATTCATCTGCTTGAACCAGTAGATAGACCGATTGATTCTCCCATGGACCACATCTCCAGTCATCTTTAACTATTAGTAAGATCTTGCACCCTATTTATCGTGGCTTTTTATCTTTTTGCAAATTCTCTGCTGACAAGTAAGAAAATGGAATCCGTGTGCATTTTACTTTAATCAACAAATTCTTTAGAATCAATTGTTGTTCCGGACAAAACATCAAATTCAAGGATCGGTTGTAGTATCAATTGCTTTGTTATTGGAAATGTGATATTGATATAGATTATAGTAAGCAGTAGACACCCCCTTGAATCAAATGCATTAAAGATATTTTTGTAGATCTGTAACAAGGTTTGAGCTCTCTGCTTTGTTAATTGCATCTTTTTTTTTATTAACCTGGATATCCAACCGGATATGCAAGCCAACTAATCTCAGGCGACCACCTGTTTTGCAGGTAGCCTGGATTAATTGCATCTTATCAAACAACAAAATGGATCTATATCTTCTGTAGGAAAACAATGGTGATGAAAAGTTGGCCTCGGAATGATGGTGATGATGGGTAGGTTTGAATTTGAATTAACTGGATAGAAGCCCTGGACTCACTCATTCGAATGTCTATGTATCATAAAAACATGTTATATATTGAATTGTGGCAAAATAAGTATACACCGTTTTGTTGTATGTGTCATATAGTAGGACCATGGTTCTACCATGTCCAATTCTACAAGAAAGGATGGAGGCCTAGGCTCCAGCACATTCAAATCCTACACAAAATTAGCCTTTTAGGTATCAGCATACATTACTTGGGTTCCACTTTGGCCGAAATAGTGTATCCACCACTATAGTCAAATGCATCGCTATCATTCCTTTTGAGTGTAGCTTCGTTGTAAGGATGTTTAGGTGCGCTTTTCACAGATCCAAACTCAGTTGCAGATGAGGATGTGGATGTAGATTCCGTGTGGAGTCCATCAGTAATTAAAAGGGTCTCTAGTGCCTTCACAACCTCACTCATAGTTGGTCGGTCCGCAGCAGAATCTTCGACACACTGCATTGCTAGTTGTATAAACCTCCGAAAACCCACCAGATGTGTCATGTTTTTGATGCTCGGATCTAATAACTCCCTCAATTGATATTCCTCCTCTTCATTGGTTTTATCCATCGCCAATCTCACCTCGCGCACAATGTACTTCCCTTTCTCGATAGGCGGTCTAGCAGTTAGTAGCTCAAGCATTACCACACCAAAGCTGTATACATCACTTTTATCGGTCAACTGTTGTGTCATGTAGTATTCAGGATCTAGATAGCCCTGTGAAACATGATGCATATTAGAGCTTCAAATTATACAAGTTTTCTTATGAAGTCAGAAGCATCAAAGGGCTGTTTAGCTGAATGACCTTCTAAATTTAAGAATTTAACCTCTAGTGTATTTCTCAGTATTTACAGGAGTAGGCTGTTTCGAACCAGGTCAGATGAAGGTCATTGAGCTAAAAAAGAATTTAGAAGATCATGCTCCTGAATTTTAGAATTTAAACCTCTGCAGTGTGCTGTTACTGAAAGAGACTCACCAGGGTACCCTTAACTTGGGTCGAGACGTGTCCTTCACTGTCTGAAACTAGCTTAGATAGGCCAAAATCTGCAACTTTTGCTGTTAGATTTTCATCTAAAAGGATATTGGTGGTTTTGATATCTCTATGGATGATAGGAGGATCTGCCAGCTCATGTAGATATGCGAGCCCTCTTGCTGAACCAAGAGCAATGCGAAGTCTTCTCTTCCAGTCTATATAAATTTCTGATTTCCCTGAAAATTGAGAGTAGATGAGTTACTATTCAATGGTATTAGGTTCGACTTTTTTTTGATAATCATGGTTGTCTGGGCCACAGGGCCAGTTTGTGCACATCTTGACTGATATCATAAGGCCCTGAAGTTAACAGCCGGATCGAACTCGTGACCACCTGGGAGCAAACCCAAGGCCTTACCAGTTGAGCTACCCATAAAGGTTAGCTTCGACAGTTCTAAGAATGGGATAATGCAATTGTAGAGTTCTGATCAATGATCAAGATATTCACCTGTTAAGCTGTCTCTGAGCGTTCCGTTAGGCATAAACTCATACACCAGCATCTGTTCTCCTTGTTCAAAACAAAATCCGACAAGGCCAACAAGGTTTTTGTGATGAACCCGCGAAAGCAACTCAATTTCAGTCTTGAACTCATGCCCGCCTTGCCTGGATGCTTGCTGAGCTCTTTTGATGGCAACTACTTGCCCCCCAGGTATCATTCCTCTATAAACCTTCATCAAACCACCAAAACCAATCATGATTCGTTAGGGATATGTGGTACCCCATTTGATTACCCTCTAAAAGAGCCATTAAGAGAAGGGAGGTTCCAACATATATTCGGGAGAAATGGTCAAAATCTTGCCGATGTGGGACTCTTAACATTCTTAAGTGAAATCGGTTCAAAATGTCAATCTGATGTATAGATATATACCTTGCCATAGCCACCGGATCCTATCTGATTGTCGTCAGAGAAATTGCTGGTGCATTTCTTGAGTTCATCGTAAGAGAACCATCTAGCTCCCTTTAACTGTGGTGCACCTCCACCTTCTTTACCACTTGAAGCCCAAGATGCTGCATAAACAAGATTTGAAAATAGCCAAACAAGAGGAAAATGGAAAGTTCTTAAAAGAGGCTACGTGACAAGAAATTACCAAAAGGTCTACTTAAACCAATTGCTTTTTCAGCACGTTTCTTTTGTCGAACAGCATATAGAAGAAGCCCGATAAGCATGATGACTAGAATGGTAGAAGCAGTAGCTATCCCGACAACGGTGCCAACGCCAATAGAAGCACCTCCATGGCCATCTGAAATGTATCATAACTTAAGTTGAACCACACCAATCTTACACACTTTGAAATGTGACACAGATCTACATTATCATTATATAAAGTTACCTGAAAAAACATAAGGAGTTGCTATGAAAAAATACGGTCCAAATCCTGCTGGAGGCTTATAGGTTTGATTGCTCAAGTAAAACCCCATCATCTGAATCTCTGACCGGTTAAAATGCTTACTCTTTGACGGAAAGAGTTGCAAGTACACCTGAAGGTAATCATCAGTGTTGAAGAACGGATTTTGCAGCGAAACTGAGCCAGGAGTCAGGCCTAGTTTCACCCAAAGGCTCATTTCTAGAGAATGCCAAACATTAATATTGGATAACTCTCGAAATGAAGGTGCTCTAAAATATAATGTGCCTTCATATGGATATGCACAGTCACATGTCTGAGGGCTGAGTTTCTGATCAGACGGACACAATTTACTCCCGCAACTAGTTAAGCTTGTGGAGTATGCCTTTGAGGTTTGTTGTTGAACTCGACAATAGGCAGTGTGTGCTAGAGCTGTAGCGCATACGGGATTCCCAGACAGCCTGAAAATACATAGAACAAAAGATGAATGACATTTGTAGAGACGTTTCTCAACTGTAACTTTGATCAACCCAAAACAGGTCCAGTAAATCCCACACAGAGGTAGGTTTTTTTTGGTGGGGGGAAGAGGGAAGATGTCACTGACCTTACCCCTTACAACCCAAGGGGTAGAGAGACTGTCAGAGTGTGTGCAAACAAGCTAAATAGAAAAAGCAGCCGGACATAAGTAAGGGAAAAAGGTTATACATCAAGGGAACAGGAAATACAAAGCACAGTACAGACAACTACGATTATAGGACGAAAATTGGAGACTGTAACTTAGATGGTAAAGAGAAATTCTTACTCCAATGTGTTTCTGTATTCCGTACTCAATGTTACAGCTTCGATCTTGTTGCTTTGCAAATCTACCAGTTGCAGTTGCTCACCGATACTGCTGCCCATATTCAATGTATCGTTGAGCTCATTGTTCTTCAGTTTCCTGTTCAATGGTTATTCGAGAAGCAACCATATGAATTTGCTAGTAAATGAATATAACTCATAGAAGTGATAGTCCAATTGTTCCAAGAAGCAGAAGGACACTCTTTTGACCCTTCTGTGAACATCAAAGTTGGATCTTGAAACTAATAGGATTGATATCTGAAGTCAAAGTTTGTCAATCTTACACTTGTTGAATTCCTGATAAACTGAAAAGCTCTTGTGGCAGCCTCCCTCTGAGTGAAGCAAACTCCATAACTCTTGGCAGAATACCAAAAGTTCAATATAAGATTACTTTTTATGGAAGAAAGTTTTCGACTTTGTATTGGGTATTGAGAACTCACAGAGTGCTTAACGATGGTAAGGTGGAAAACCAAACTGGAGGGTCAGATTGGCGAAAGGAATTATTGCTCAAGTCCCTGAACGAGAAGAACCGTGACAGCTTAGAATGACAACAGTCCAACATAAAAGTTAGAAGGGAAATGCATATACAGGAATACACATTACAAGAAAATCGGATTTATAGGACGCCAAATATGTCTAGATGTCCTAATAGACTACTTTATTGGAATTTCGGTTTATAGGACCGAAAAATTGTGCATCATATGTAAAAGTGTTACAATAAGCTGATAAGACGCGTTTGGACGTCATAACAAGTTTTTTAAAACACTTTTGAACAAGTGTCCTGTTAGTTTTTTTTATAGAAGTGTATTGTGAATACACCTTCTTATAAGATACATTTTCAAAGAATGATAAAAAGAATAATATGACGTATATTTCAAAAGTGTCCTAAAAAACTTGCCAGTATGCCCAAAAACGTCCCATGGACTTATTGCAACACTTACATAGAATGCACAATTGTGTAGTCCTATAAAACAGTCTAGAAGGACATGTAGTATATTCAGCATCCTATAAAGCTGATTTTGTTGTAACGACATCAAGTTGGTCTTCGATAAACTTACACATAACTGAGGGCATTCATCCCATTTAAATCAGGCAAAGCTCCGAATAGATTGTTGTGAGCTAAATTCCTATATATATACAGAAAGTTTAAGTCTAAGCCAAATTCGAATATCTAATCTGCTGTTTGGTTTGTATTAGAAGAGAAGATTGACTCACAATTCACTTAGACTAGTGAGGTTGTTGAGGTTCAACGGAACCTCGCCTGAGAACGCATTTCTATCTAGCCGACTGTTGCACACGAACCATTCAAGCGATGGAAGTTATCGCTTAGAAATGTTTTACGACCATATATTCTGGAAAGTAAGGTAGTTGATGTTACTTACAGGACCTCTAGTGTCCGAACATATCCAATTGTAGATGGGATTGTTCCAGTAAATTCGTTTCCATCAAACAATCTGTCCTTGCACAACATGAACAATCAGAATGTGAGAAAATGTGGAAGGCCAAGATGTCCTGATAAGATGTTAGAATATATGGAATCCCATTAGATTACTATCCAAAAGAGCCTTTGCACATAGATTTTTTTTTTGGAGCGGGGGTAACAACATATATTGAAGAGAAAGTGTCCAAGTCTAGTTGATATGAGACTCTAACACAGAACATGGATAACTAAATGCGATTTTTTGCAGGGGTTGGTTTTCAACTCACACATGCATCAGCACCATGTCATTGCTGAAAAGTTGGCCAGGAATTCCACCTGAAAGCTTGTTCTTATTGAAATGGCTGCCAATTCAGAAAAGTTTCATGCTTCAGAGGCTTTGTGGTGCCCTAATTGCCATAAAAACGAAAGAAAGGTAATCAAACTTACAAATGCTTTGCATGTTTTAGCTGATCCAAGCCAGGTTTGGTGTCACTTGATACCGGAATGGACCCTGTGAGATGATTCTCGGCAAGGTCCAACCAGTAAAGTTTGGAAAGAAGTCCCAACGAAGAAGGGATTTCACCCGTCAAATTGTTTGTGTTCAATGCCCTGTTTGCAACATGTTAATTGAAAGCTGTTGTAGCATAGTAGTTCTGGCGGTAAGATCAGAGTTAATTTGCCAGATGTGCCGTTCTCTTTAAAAAAAAAGGAAGATTAGAGTTTGAGAGATTCATACAAAAATGATAGCTCCTGAAGGTTTCCTAGTTCAGATGGGATGCTGCCGGTGAAGCTACAGCCCGCTAGGATTCTGAGACATAACGCGAAAATAGGTGTCACGAATATAGTGTTTGTTAGGCTCAAGGATAGTCCTATCTCAAATCTCATTGAATGGTGGCATGTGTGTGATATGTGGAACCCCATCGGATTACTTTCCAACATAGCCCTTAAAGTGAGAATGGTGGTTCCAACATATATTGAAGTAGAAAATGTCCAATTTTAGTTGATGTGAGACTAACAGTACGAAATGAGACACGGTTGTTTGAGGACATACAATATGTTAAGACTTTTCAGGTTGCCTATCCGCGGAGAAATTGAACCAGTGAGGCCGCCATTAAATGACAAGTCCCTGGAACATGAATCATAATTTGTTTATATATATGTTGGCTGTTGGGCATTGGAAATGCGAGTCGAATTGTAATGTTCCTCACAAGGATGTTAGTGCAGTGAGGCCACCAATGTCGCCAACGAGCTGACCAACCAGGCCCATGCTCGACAATCCCCTGCATACGAGAGATCCAACCGGTGAACTCAACAGAAATAAAGCGGAAAAGATACTTAGGCCTCACTAGAGAATGTTTGCAATGAAAGTAGTTGCTACCAGCGCAAAAGTCATCAAAATGTAATGAAGTTTGCTTTAGTTCCTATTAATTTTTTTCTGAAGCAATGTAAAAGAGTTCCAAAATTTCTATCTAATGTAACAAAATTTCAAAATTTCCTATCTTTTATCCATTTAGCCGCTGATCTTGTAACATTTAATAATGCCTATATCAAGTTTATCGTGCTATTCATCGTAACCCTTTCGTAAATGGTATTCACGTCATCAAATGTCACAAGATCGGTAGTGACAGGTTACCGGTCAAAATGTGTACGAATAGAAAATTTTGAAACATTGTTGCATCAATTGAGAAAAAAAAGTTCCGTTGCATACTTGCATTAAATAGGAACTAAACCAAACCTTATTATATTTTGATGCATTTTGCCTTTTCTAAAACTCATTTTGTTTCCGGTTTTTGTTGTATTATGTAGATGTAGATTGTAGAAGTGTTGGAAAAGGAAAGTAGACTGACAATGAAACGATCCTCGAGCTGCTGCAGGTGACACCTTCCCACGAACATGGATCATTCGACCTACCCCAGCTCGGTGGCGTATTTCGCCACTGGTCTTTCAACGCTCGAAGTGCCTCCGCTGCAATCACAACTCAAATTTGAAGTACTTGGTGGTCAATGCCGATAACAAATGTAAGTCACTTACCGTCACCAGGGTCCGTATCGGAAAACACCACCTCAAATTCTACGTAAACCAGCAGCAAACACCACCATAACCGCGATATGCAGAGTGCCATTGACGGAAACACAGGAAATGTGCTTACGCAGTTTGCATCAGAAAGGTGTTTTAGTTATGTCGTTACTGGCAGTGGTGGTGGTGGTAGGATTTTAACGACTTTGGGCTTCGTTTAGAGCGTGGGAAGCAAAGCAAAAGCATGGGTCTGGATGATGATGATAACAAGACTAGTGAGTTTAGCTTGGATTAGAAGCCAATCCAACAAACACATTACCACCACCAACAACAACCAAAATACAAATTCATCATGTTGTCACCATTGCCATCATTTTAAGTCATAATATGTGGTATATATATATATATATATATATATATATATATATATATATATATATATATATATATATATATATATATATATATATATATATAGATATATATATAGAGGAGCGATCAAATGAAAACCGCTTTCATTTGTGTAAACCGTACAAACCACCCTCATACGTCCATTTCATTGTTTAATCTTATGAAATTTTTTCATGAAATTGTTTCATATAATACTTTTTTTGATGACTTTTTTCATATATGCTTATGAAATTGTTTGATATAATATTTAATGAAATTTTAATAAAACTGTTTCATGTATTTCTCTAAAATTAAAATAATGAAGACGATAATATCCATGATTAAAATGGTTAATCAACCTCTCATAATTAAAAAAAAAAAATGAACAAAATGAAAAATTATGATTGGTTGAATGTGGTTTTCACGGTTTATACAAACTGGGTGGTTTTTATTTGAACGCTCCCCTATATATATATATATATATATAGGGTATATTTCTTTTACAACCTTGTGTATTTGTACAACCCTTGCAACCCAATTAATTGAGATATTTATAGAAATGATGAGAGTTCATTTATTATGATTTGAATATTTATGGAATATGAACAGAGTTCATTAATTATGATTAATACTTTATATTAGGAAACAATCAAAACTTCTATGAAATCACATATTCATCAAATGAAATGGACGGTTGAGATTGAGTTGTATTAGTTGCACAAATGACAAGGGTTGTATAATAACCAACCCCTATATATATATATATATATATAGAGGTTAGTTATTATACAACCCTTGACATTTATGCAACTAATACAACTCAATCTTAACCGTCCATTTCATTTGATTAATATGTGTTTTCATAGAAGTTTTGATTGTTTCCTAATATAAAGTGTTGATCGTAATTAATTAACCATATTCATCTTTCATAAATATTCAAATCATAATAAATGAACTCTCATTATTTCTATAAATATCTTCATTTATTGGGTTGCATTGGTTGTACAAATGCGATGGGTTGTATTTGAACCAAACTCTATATTATATATATATATATATATATATATATATACTTGGGATTATATGAGACCAAGAGTTTTTCGTGAGATCCGTAAGACCAATTCTCAACCCTTAGATTAGATCTACAATCTGAACATTCATAATCACAAAATTGCCATGAGACTTCTCAATAATCACAAAATTGCCACCGCGCAACTTTAGACTATTAGATCATTAGCTTATAAAGTTGATCAATGAATATAAATTGGTTTTATGGGTCTCACGAAAAACCCTTGGTCTCACGTGAACTCAACCCTATATATATAGACTTGGGATCATGTGAGACCGATGGTTTTTCGTGAGACCCGTAAGATTAATTCTCAATCCTTGGATTAGATCTACAATCTGAACATTCATAATCATAAAATTGCCACGAGACTTCTCAATAATCACAAAATTGTCACTGTGTTAAACAAAAGACACAGTGTGATAGCCAAACACATATAAGATGTATTGTGATACAACTGTGGTATCGCCGGAGGATGGTGGCCGGAGGACGAAGGCCGAGGGACGGAGAGAGGAGAGAGAAGAGAAAATACCTAAAATGTCATTGCATTAAAATTTTAATTCAAAATTACTAAAAAGATAAATTTCCTAATTTATCTATTGATTTGTGGTTAAAATTGGACCTCATGGTTACCATAAACTAATTAGTTCTCATTTGATTAGGCCTCTATATATATATATATATATACATATATGGAGGCGGGTTAGATTACAAACCGTCCGATTCGTGAAAACTTTGCAAACCTTTTTCCACCAATAGGAAATTTCCGTTTTTTCTTTAATTTTAATAACAAAGGGTATTAATGGTCATTTGATTGTATATTGGTTAATATTGGAAGGTAATAATTGTTTTTAATTATGGAAACGTAAATATAGAAACCTTTAATATAAAAGGTGGTAAATCAAATATTTTTAATATAAAATTATTACTATTAATAGTTTTTATTATTTTATTAAATTATACTCCTAAAATATGAATTGTACAATTATACTCCTAAAATCAGTTTGATTAGAAATAATTAACAGCATGATACTCTTCATGAAATATTTTCATATATCATTGTAGGTGACAATGAGTCACGTTATTTATTCAATAAACGGTGTAAATCAATTGTTTTTAATATAAATTTATTACCATTAATACTTTATATTATTTTATTAAATTATACTCCTAAAATATGAATTGTAAAAAGAGTACAATATGAAATCTGATTTCGTTTCATTGACCAAATATATGTAGTTTGAGTAATGAAACGCTTGTTATGTTCAATAGTGACCATGAACACAATTTCACTGATGAATGTAATTTATTAATATTTTGAAACGTTTTATGCATGAAAAAGTTTCACTTACGAAAATAAAGTATTTAGTTTTCAAAATGTTTCATTCAATTTTTAAAAATGTTTCATTCTTTATATGTTTTATCGTTTATTAGGGTATCTCTTGTTTTAAAATTAGTTTGATTAGAAATGATTAAGAGTCCAATATATATAACCGTTAATGAAATAGTTTTATATATCGTTCACTACTATATGTCAAATGATCCATCTTTCATTGTAGGTGACAAGGAGTCACGTGAGTTCATTCAATAAATGGTGAAACAGTTTCATTCATTCGTTTAATGAAACAAATATTTCCTTTAGTATTCAAAAGATTTCGTTATTTTTTGTTGATTAAAGTATGTTTTTATGTTTCATAATTTATTAGGATATACCTAGTTTCATTGTTCCTTACTTTGATCTATTTTTAATGTGGATATTATTTTATTTATGGAACCATATGGGTGATTTGTTAAATTTGCCCTTTTTTCGATAACTTTTTTTTTTATTTTAACTTTCCTAATATAACGCATTTTAGTCATGACCATTGATCAAGAAAATAGATGGATGAGATCCGTTTGTATCGTTTGCACAAAAGAGGGTGGTTTGCAATTGATCGCTCCTCTCTCTCTTGTAACACCCCCGAATTCATACATTGCATATAACACATATTTCGTACATAGAATATATGTTTTTCCCACATAGGTCCATAATACAAGAAACTAAAATATACAACTCAAAAATTCCAAAAAGTACATGCTCTTGTATCTCTATATCTCTACTTCAAACATGGCTAAATAAGATCTTCATATAGCTTAAGCACTCAGGAAAATAATTCACAGAATGCTCTTTCCCTTATTATCATTAACTGCACCCATATTTTTGAAAACACAAAATGAGGGTTAAACATGAATGTCTAGTGAGGTTCCCTTTTTATGTAATGCAGGGTGAAAACACCAAAACATTTATTTTAAATCGTTTATTCTATATAGCAAAGAATAAGTATCATAATTTGTATCGGGCCTCTGGTTTCATAACCAGACTTAGAATATATTTCAAGAAACAGGACCAGAGCCCCTCTGGTTCCTCTACCTGAGTCTTTGGTTCTTTGACCAGAGCCTCTGGTTGTACTAACCAGTGCCTCTTGCTCAAGTAATTTCTTATAACGTTCTTTACTTAACACTTGCAACCAAATCAGATAGTCTTTTTCATAAAAAGGAATGATTATCAAGAGTTCATGCTCGACAAGAGCCTCTGGTTGTACTAACCAGAGCTTTTGGTTCAACAGACATGACCAACCAGAGCTCCTCTGGTCTGTATTTCATAAAAGATTCCAAGTATAAACATTTTTCTTTAAAACTTCTCAATACGAGTTTTGATACAGAAGTTCTTATCAATAGATGCAGAGCCTTTGGTTCAATGTGTGAGTCGACCAGAGCCCCTCTGGTATGTCTTTTAGTAGAAAACACTAACTATAAAAGCCTTTTTCTTAAAACTTCTTAAAATATGATTTTGACACAGAAGCTCTTATCAATAGATACAGAGCTTCTGGTCCAACTAGTACATTTAGTACAAACTTGCATATTCCTCAATCAATAACCAGACCCTCTGGTCCAATAATGTGGACCAACCAGAGCTCCTCTGGTTCCTTATAAAAATGACCATTCTGTTCCAAAACGCTTTTAATCAAAATTCATGACCATAGGCCATGTTTTTCCCGTAACCATAACATCAATACTATTATTTCCAATAAAAACAACGTCTCTGAATCCTCAAATCACCAAGAAGTGAGAACTCCAATATGTTGTAATCTTAAAAGATATAATAGCAATTTATACCATGCACACACACAACGACCGTCCTTATTACATCCATAAATCCTCTTTATAGCAGCAGCTATCCATCACACACAACGACCATCCTTATTTCTCCTGAAATTCATATGAACTATTTCATCCAATGACAGGCTGCAGACCTTTCTGTCAGAGTGAACCTCGTTCATAGTTTTAATTAATCATAATCTCAAAACAGGTCTGTATTCAAACCTTCCAAACCACAAGAACAATCTGTTCTTTTATATGATTTCTCAACTCATCCGTAATCATTAATTTATAAAATCAAGTAGCAGATTTAAAGCTCATAGTTTGTAAACAACGATAATTCAAAAACTCTCAGTTATAATCGACAGTTATTTTAAACTCACCTTAAAAATTGAATATAGATTTTGTAAATAACACCACACAACAAATCTTTAAACACCGGTTCTTTCTTCAAGAACACCTTCAAGAACACTTTCACAGCCTTTAAATTTCTTTCTTTCTTAAACTTCCTTTCTTTTGTAAAGC